CGGAGGGGGGAGCGGCGGAGGCGAGGGCGGCGGAGGGGGGAGCGGCGGAGGCGAGGGCGGCGAGAGTGGTGGAGGCGAGGGTGGTTCCGGCACAGCGCAGCAGCCGCGGCATTGTGGGCAGGTGTCGTTGGCCCAGAGGTCGAGGAAGAAGGGCTCGCTGCATGAGATGGCGCTCCAGGACGCGCATTGACGATTGAAGCACATCTCGGTGCCGATGGCGGCGCACTCTGGCGTCGGCCTGCCACGGAACGGCGGCCGGTGAGGCGGCGCAGGCGGCGTAGGCGGAGACAGCGGAGGCAGCGGACGCGGCAGAAGCGGTTGAGGCGTTGGGCTTGCTGGCGGAGGCCGCGGAGGGGGCGGGGCGTGTGGCGGCGAGGGCTGCAACGGGCTTGGCGGCGGCGGCGGAGAGGGCTCAGGCGGGAATGGCGTGGGTGGCGGCGGTGGAGGCGGCTGCAAGGGCGGCGGCGGCGGTGGAGGCGGCGAGGGAGGCGGGGGCACCGGTGGCGGGAAAGGCTCGGGAGCCAAAGGCACTGGCGGGGGCGGAGGCGAGGGCTCGGGCGAGGAGAACGGTGGACGTGATGGTGTCGGCGGCGAGGGTGGTTGCGAGGGCGACGGAGGCGGTGGCCGCGGAGAGGGTGGTTGCGAGGGCGACGGAGGCGGTGGCCGCGGAGGAGCGGAAGGAGCTGGAGGCGCTGACGGGTGTGGTGGCGCGGGCGGCGCGGGCGGCGCCGGAGGAGAGAAGGGAGACAACGGCGGCAGCGCCGGTCTCCACTCGCTCACCGCGGAGATCACCGCCCGCCAGTTGTTGGGGTTGGTGTACGCCATTCAGTCGACGGAAGCCAGCTCGTCAGCGGCTGGTGTGCACTGGTGTGCACTGGTGTGCACTGGCTGGTGTGTGCGGGGACAGGTGTGTGTCTTTTTGATCGTCGTTTAGAGAGACGCCGTTCACATAAACGAACAACCCCGTTCACATAAACGCACAACCGGGCCCCGAAATCGCACAGTGACAGTCAGACATGCAACACGCCTCAGATAGGTTGATAAGAACGACCTTGTGATTGAGAAGGAAAACCTCCCATGCATCGCGCTGCGCGCTGGTCTCTGAGAGGTTACAGCGTTACACAGTGACAGTCAGACACGCAACACGGGGTCCCGCGAGCGCAACGCCGACTCGGAGGCCGCGCATGCCCGCACCACGGTCAGGCGCGCAGCCATGTACGAGCAAGTCGGCACTCCAACGTCCAAGTGCTCCAAGTGCACCCGTGACCGCGCCCGCGCTGCGGCGGTGGGCCGGTTCGCGCCATGCGCGAGTGTCTTGTGAGCGTGTGTGTCTGTGTGTCGCTCACGCGTGCCGGCCGCACGTCACCACCACTCCTCCTGGAAGTCGGGCGCGGCGCGGTCAAAGGGCTCGAGCCCGTGAATGCCGTGCTCCTCGCGGTGCGACGTGGATCGCGAGAAGTCGTGCCGCCGGCGGTAGTTGCCCCAGCCCGAGTAGCCGTACTTGTCGTACTGTGGCGAGATGCGGCCGGAGGTCCGCGGCGCTCCCGCCTCCTCAGCCTCCTGCTGCCGCTGCGCCCACTCGTAGTACGGCTCGAAGTCCTTCTTCGGCGGCGGGAAGTGGGTCGCACTGCAGCCGGGCGGCAGCCGGTTGTTGAGCGCGGCCGCCTCGCGCTTGCTCAGGTCGGTGCCCGTGAGCTCGAGTGTGCGCAGCCCGGGAGCGAGCGCGACGAGCGTCGGCAGCGCGGCGGCGTGCGGATGGGCGAGCGCGTAGCCGTCGTCGCGGCCGCCCTCGAGCACTAGCTCGCGCAGCGGGCAGCCGCGCAGCGCGTGGAGGCACGCCGCCGGAAGGTCGCAAGACCCGGAGACAACGAGGGTGCGGAGGGTGCGCCGCGCGCCCAGCCGCTCAAAGAAGGCGGGTGGCGGCCTGCTGGAGCCGCGGGCGTAGTCGACGTGCGTGAGGCGCAGCGTGCGCAGGTCGGGCGGCGGCGTGTCGAGGCGGGCGAGCTCGTCACCTCCCCAGTCGATGTCCAACTCGCGCAACGAGATACAGCCGCTGATGGCCGCCCAGCCCTCCTCGGACAGGTGAGCGGCGGCGTGGACGAGCCGCAGCCTTCGCAGCGTGGGCGGGAGCGGCGGCAGCGTGGTGGGCGGGAGCGGCGGCCCGTCGGACAAGACGCAGCTGCGCATCGGCGAGGTCAGCGTGAGGTCCGTCACGTCCTGCGGCACGACGGCGGCTGCCGCGCCCGCCTGCGGAGGCCACGGCAGCTTCAGCGCGACGCGAGGAGCCGCCGACGCCGCCTCGGCACGCTCCTCGTCCGCCTCCTCGCGCAGTTTAGCTTGGAGCTCGTCGGCCGCCTTGCGCCGCTTCCTGTGCTCGGCCCAGTGCTCGCGCACCGCGCTGCCGCTGCGCCCCGTGCCCAGCCTCGAGGCCACATCCTCCCACACCACACCCTCGCCGAGCGCGTGCACGAGCTGCTGCAGCTGCGCCTCCTCGGCCGCCTTCCACGCCCCGCAGAACTTGCGCTCGGTCGCCTTCTGGCAGGGCACCGCCGCCTTGCGCTTCTTCCCGCCCGCCGCAGGCACGTGGCCTACTCCTCCGTCTTCTCCGTCCTCACGCTTGATCGCGGATGGGGCGGGTCGCGGCGCGCCGCCGAGCGCTTGCACCTGCGCCTCCGCCGAGATGACAACACTGACCCAGTAGCACGTTCCCTGCCGCGTCTGCTTGTGCGCTCGCTTCTCGGCCTCGGTCGCGGCCCGACGCGTGGCCTTACACCCAGGGTGGGTTCGCACCCACCGGCTGAAGTCCGTCCAGGACGCTGACGTAAGATGCACAGACGGTAACAGCAGGTCTGACACCAGAGCTGCCTCGCCTTGGATCACTGTGTCCGTGAGCGCGGCAGTGAACGAGGCGCGCGCGGCGTCCTCGCGGCGCTCCGCCGCACCCGACTTCCTGGCGTAGCGACCGAAGCGGCCGCTCCCGCCATCGTTGTCGTCGAAGCCGAGGCCGAGGCCGCCGAGGCCGCCGAGGCCGCCGAGGCCGAACATCATCGCAGCTTTCTTTTTCGCAAATCCGTTCCAGACTGATTCCGTTCCAGGATTCCGTTCTTCAACAAATTGGAAGAATTCTGATTTCCCCTTCCTTTTTCCGACCTTCATCGCGGGCTGGCGACGGCCGACGACATCGTCGTCGGCCTCTCCGACGGCGTGTCGGGTGCTTTTGGCGGGAAGGCGATGGGCAAGGTCATGGGCTACTCGAAAGACGACCGACGCGCGAGGGCATCCCACATCCTGCTGTCCTTCGATGCCTACCCGGAAGGGAGCTCGCCCGACTCCGAGGCGATGGCGAACGGGCTAAAGGCAAAGATCGAAGGCGGCGACTTCACGTTTGAGTTTGCGGCGGAGAAGTTCTCCGCAGTCGGCCGAGCGCGGTGGCGACCTGGGCGAGTTCAAGCGCGGCGCCATGGTGCCGGCGTTCGACGAGGCCGTCTTCAAGCAAGGTCGTGGAGGACGAGCCGCTCGGCACGATCTTAGGCCCGGTCAAGACGCAGTTTCGGCCTCCCCTTGAAAAAAAATAAAATATTCTTACCTTCAAGCCCCCCTCCGAGACTAGGGACAAACCCACACCAGTATAGGCCGGAGGGATTGCGCCTCGCCCCCCCTTGCCCTGTCTGCACAGGATAGCGTGCCCCGAAGACGGCGACACATAGCGGGGGACTCTGCCCAAGGAGGGGGTGGGAACCCAAGGTTGGGGTTCTGGGTGGTGGGCCCAATGAGGGGGGGAGGGCGGGGTCCTGTGGGGGTGAAATGTTGCGCGGCGAATTCGAGCCTACCCCCTCGCCGCGCCGATCCTCACGCGGAGGGTAAAACCCTGTGGGACAAAACCCCTCCGCGGTCGGCTGTCTTCAGAGTGGACCCCCCCCTCCCCAGCCTCCCCTGTTCGTTTTTCGCACCCCCCCCCCCGCTCCCCATCGGTGACTCGCGAAGGACACGGACACTCGGGGTGGGGGGGGAGGGGTCCCCCAGAGAGGGGGCTTTGGGGCCTTGTTGAGTCAATCTCCGGCTAAGCATATATGCGGGGTGCGGCGAGGCAGTGATATGAGAGCTCTTGGGCTGTCTGCCTAGTATAGCCTTGCGCCGCGAGATACGAGATCGCCTGGTAAGGTGTGGACGGGGCGGCGGTCACGAAAAGCGGCAGCGGTTTTGGAGTGGATGCTTCTCAGAAACTACCTCGTTGGCGCGCTTGCCCGACTTGCAGTGGACGACCATCGGCGTGTCGCAGGCGGTGGGCAGCATGGCTGTCGGCAAAGAGGCCGACTGCCTGTCCCACGGAGCCGACAGCGACCCCTCAACAAGCTCATACACACCCGCCACAGCCTCTGCCCTGTCTGCCCCGCGGACATCGACAATGACGGCTCCGTCAGCGAGGGCCGAGGAAAGCGCAGCGCGAGTTGACAAGGCGGGCGCCCCACTGCTTGAGCTTGCGAATCGAGCCGCAGGGGAGATCACGCGGCGCGCGGCGAGCCGGCACGAGGGGAGCATATGTGTGTATGCGGTCGGTCCAACTCAAGCAATCAATCGCTCGGCGGCTTGTTTGCGGGCGCTTGCTTTACGAAAAACGGCGCCGCTAAGAGCAGCTATCCCGGCCCGACGTGCCGCGCGCGCTTTGACAGCGGCGGCATCATGCACCCGGGGCTGCGTTCGCAGACGCAGCCCTTCTTGAATACACACGTTCCTCAAGATATCACGAGAAGGGCGGTCGGTGGCGAGCGAGCCCAGACGGAGCGACTCCACATGCGCATGATGTGCATGTGATCTGGGCAGGGATACGTACGTGCAGATAGATAGGGTTGCATGCATGGCTGCAAGGGCGAGGCAGGCTTCTATCACCTCGGCTGCTGGGCTTGCAAGAGCTGGCGAGGGCCGTGGGCTGGTGCGCGTGCAATTGTGACCGAGCCGAGGAAAAGCGGGCGCAAAGTGCTTGATTACCGCCGGAATTGTCGTCATCACGACAGTTGGACCCACCACGAGTAAATCGGTGCGTCCCTTTGCTCGCCCCTCGACCGCAGCCCTATGCGCATGCTCGCAAACCTCCGCAACGTCTCACGCGCGTCGTCCGTGTCGGCACACTTTCGGCGGCACGCCTCCACCGGCACTCGGAAGCACAAGATCGTCGTCGTCGGCGGTGGGGCAGGAGGTCTCTCCAGCGCCGCAATGCTCCTCCGGAAGGGCGGTCTGTCGGCAGACGTTGCTGTGGTGGAGCCGTCCAGCAGCCATTTTTACCAGCCTTTGTGGACGCTTGTCGGAGGTCCGCAACACGTTACCTGCCCAAGGGCCTGGCTAGCACCGTCCAGACGGTCTCTAGCAGTCGCCGCTGCACCCACGCATTCTGCTCCCCTTGGCCTGCCGAACGCTTCAGAGTCCAACACGGCCTTGCCTCACGCCTGCCCACTCGGCGTGGCCTGACGCCTGACGCCTGCCTGACGCCTGCCCGGCCCGGTCCCAGGCGGCATCAAAGAGGCGGAGGAGTCTCGCCGGGACATGGCCAGCGTCATGCCGAAGGATGCGACATGGATCCAATCGGCCGCAAAGACTATCGGTAGACTTGCACCGCCGCAATCATCTTTGTCGCCCCTGCACTGCTGAGATGTTGCGCATTCACAGCCCCCCCCCCCCCCCCCTGTCCGCAGATCCCGACGAGCAGGCCGTCATCCT